AGTAGGGTGGACATACACATACATGGTGCACAGTAGGGTGGACATACACATACATGGTGCACAGTAGGGTGGACATACACATACCTGTTGCACAATAGGGTGGACATACACATACATGGTGCACAGTAGGGTGGACATACCTATACCTGGTGCACAATAGGGTGGACATACACATACCTGGTGCACAGTAGGGTGGACATACACATACCTGGTGCACAATAGGGTGGACATACACATACATGGTGCACAGTAGGGTGGACATACACATACCTGGTGCACAGTAGGGTGGACATACACATACATGGTGCACAGTAGGGTGGACATACCTATACCTGGTGCACAATAGGGTGGACATACACATACCTGGCGCACAATAGGGTGGACATACACATACCTGGCACACAATAGGGTGGACATACACATACCTGGTGCACAATAGGGTGGACATACACATACATGGTGCACAACAGGAAGGACATACACATACCTGGTGCACAGTAGGGTGGACATACACATACATGGTGCACAGTAGGGTGGACATACCTATACCTGATGCACAATAGGGTGGACATACACATACATGGTGCACAGTAGGGTGGACATACCTATACCTGGTGCACAATAGGGTGGACATACCTATACCTAGGACAATAGGGTGGACATACCTATACCTGGTGCACAACAGGGTGGACATACACATACCTGGTGCACAATAGGGTGGACATACCTATACCTGGTGCACAATAGGGTGGACATACCTATACCTGGTGCACAACAGGGTGGACATATACATACCTGGTGCACAGTAGGGTGGACATACACATACCTGGCGCACAATAGGGTGGACATACACATACCTGGTGCACAATAGGGTGGACATACACATACCTGGTGCACAGTAGGGTGGACATACACATACCTGGCGCACAAGAAGGTGGACATACACATACCTGGTGCACAACAGGATGGACATACACATACCTGGTGCACATCGGGGTGGACATACACATACCTGGTGCACAGTAGGGTGGACATACACATACCTGGTGCACAGTAGGATGGACATACACATACCTGGTGCACAACAGGGTGGACATACACATACCTGGTGCACAGTAGGGTGGACATACACATACCTGGTGCACAGTAGGGTGGACATACACATACCTGGTGCACAGTAGGGTGGACATACACATACCTGGTGCACAACAGGGTGGACATATACATACCTGGTGCACAGTAGGGTGGACATACACATACCTTGTGCACAGTAGGGTGGACATACACATACCTGGTGCACAGTATGGTGGACATACCTTGTGCACAGTAGGGTGGACATACACATACCTGGTGCACAGTAGGGTGGACATACACATACCTGGTGCACAACAGGGTGGACATACCTACACCTGGTGCACAGTAGGGTGGACATATACATACCTGGTGCACAGTAGGGTGGACATACACATACCTGGTGCACAGTAGGGTGGACATACACATACCTGGTGCACAGTAGGGTGGACATATACATACCTGGTGCACAACAGGGAGGACATACCTACACCTGGTGCACAGTAGGGTGGACATATACATTCCTGGTATATAATCAGCAAACGTAGCATACCTGAAAGTGTTATGTATTAGAAATAGCACTGGCAGCGTGTACGGGGTTTTACGAGCTGAATATCGAGGGGGGTAACAAAGTTTCAGCTCGTACAATCCGGAGCACCACGCTAGAGAGTAAGTGGATGAATTTGGTTTAACCTGCCTTTTACAATATCCCAGTTATATCACGACGTGACAGCTAATGTGCGAGTAAAGGCGAGAGTGGTGCAGGTATCAGACGTTAACCACGTTGGTGAAACCCACGAGCACAGGTATGGTGCTGACAAAACTAGAAATACAATTGCGGCGACCCGGGATTCGAACCCACAATCATAGGTTTCTGACGTGCCCAAGGGGCGCAACTCTACAAAGAGATTTTCGGCGTCTCAGACGACAGGCACATGTGGCCCGTGCCTTCATCCTCTCTTGTGCTATATGATGCCTATATTTAACGAAATTATCATTTATCATATTTATATTTGTATGTTACAATTAAATCTGTCTGACCACCGTCGGAATCTCATAATGGTTACTCGAAGTTCGTTCAGGGTCAGGTGTGACGTGACAACAAGGGATTGGATGGTCACGTTCGCTTACTTGTTTGATGCATGTCATCGTGTCCCAATTATGTCGATGCTCATGATATCAGTCCCTGAATTGTCTGGTCCAGGTTTGAGTATTTACAGACCACCGTCTTATAGCTGGAATATTGGTGAGTCCCGCGTTAAACAACAAACAAACAAACATGTCACCGAGTTGTGATGTTGAATTACCAGGAGCACGGATGGCCTGGTCCCAAACCCTATATACACGTGCCATGATTAGACAAACATTCAGTTCCAGAAATAAAGTTGTCTAAACTTATATAAACAAACATAATTATTTAAAAAGGAATCCTCAAATAATCTGCAGGGCAAAAGAAAGTATACGATTGAAAATTGGATTTGACCAAAAAATTACAAACCCTATCAAAACGTTACAAGGCTAAAACAGTCTCCGAAACACAGGTCAGAGCGAATCAGGGGAGGGTCATTATTATATGTGACAGTCTCCAGGGGATGATACTAAAAAAAATAATAAAGATACTTTGATTGGGTCATGAAAAAGTTGACATTTTATAAAAAAAATAAATAAAAAAATACTGCGCTTTTGCATTTTGTCTTTTCGATGAGGGTCATGAAAAATATGTACAAGGCCGTTGGGAGTGTCATACAAAAACATGACAAGCATTTTGGTAGAGTCATTAGTGGACCAAAAACCTATGACTCAAGCACCCCTGTAATATATGACCGATCCCTTATTTGGTCCAAAACACAACCATGGTACCCGTATCAAACACATCACCATCCACTATACATTTCTGGTTTTACATTTTAGACACCATCAAACATTGGTGTATACTCGTTTTTGCCTGGCACTGTAGTATGGACAAAGGAGCCCCTTGTCTCTTCGTTTCAGCTAGGCGAAGGGGTGAAATTGGAATTGGGGTGATTGCTTGCAAAATATATTCTTCGTGGTTAGACCGACATTGAGTCCCAGAAATAAAGTTAGGCTATTACAAAGTATATATCTGAAAAACAAAAAAATAATCCAAATGGAGCCCAGACCAATGATTTATTTCCTTGAGGCAATTTGGACTTGCCCACTCATTCTAGACTTGAGTTGGGCTACTTTATGAATTTACTCGCTAGTGTCTGGGAGACAGACTACTCCGGGGCCTGTAAGAGAGACGAGTGTCAGTATCTAGTCCCATTGACACCATTGGTCAATCAGCAGTATAACCGTGAATGTGGCAAACGAACAGGACATGCAACTGGGTGCATTCACACCTAGACCGACACGCCGGGATATTACCGAAGTCTTGTTCAAGACGGTGTGAATGCCAACTCACTCACTCACTCACTTACTCCTAGAATACATACACAACCTGTTTTGTGGAAGTCCCCAACCTTTTTGCATTGCATGTGCGCGGATGTGTTTTCTAACAGTCCATTCTCTTTGTTGAGACTATTGAATCAGTGAAAAGCATGTGGGGTAAACTACATATTTGTTGTTGTTATAAAAAAAATAAAATATGTGAACGTTTTCGTAATATAGCATACAGTGAGTTGCCATCTTCAAGAACTAAACATGACATGGGCGTATACATTTTACGTCAAGGTTGAAAATATTGCCTGGCTTTCGTATTAGTGGAATAGATGAACTGGAGAGAGAGAGAGAGAGAGAGAGAGAGAGAGAGAGAGAGAGAGAGAGAGAGAGAGAGAGAGAGAGAGAGTGTGTGTGGGGGGTGGGGGGGTGGGGGGGGAGAAGAGAGAGAGTGTGTGGGGGGAGAGAGAGAGTGTGGGGGGGGGGAAGAGAGAGAGAGAGAGAGAGTGTGTGGGGGGAGAGAGAGTGTGGGGGGGGGAAGAGAGAGAGAGAGAGAGAGTGTGTGGGGGGGGGGAAGAGAGAGAGAGAGAGAGAGAGAGAGAGAGAGAGAGAGAGAGAGAGGCTGCACTCCAACTCTGGATCCGCCGGTCTACAAGGGTGCACCAGAACATGGCTGTCCCCATTGTATCCATGTCGGGAATCGAACCTGGGTCTTCAGCATGACGAGCGAACTCTGTAACCACTCGGCTACCCGCCCCTTTGCTTTCCCTGATGAAAAAAACTACTAACATCATTACACTAAGTTACATAATACGAGTGTATTTTGAAATCAGAGTGGATGAAATATTTATATTATATCAGTATCAAATAATGCCTCCAACCGACCCCCCCCCCCCCACCCCCCCGCCCGTGCCCTTCATATCGGAAACTAATAAGAAAACTTTAGTTCTTCACCTCTGATGCTAGTTTGGTTAAAAATTAGGCAACTCAAAATTGGAAACAAATTTAACCTACAGTATTATCTGCAATATACATACTGTACAAGCAATCTAAAAGGAAGATTTCCTACACTAAAAGTGTGCAAAATACCAGTGCCTCTTAAAATATATGTTTATATTAAACGGTACATGTATAATAAATATTTACTTTGCCTGGTTGGTGTAAATGGATACTTCTCTTTATTTTCTTTATTTTAGATTTTTCTCTCCTTTTTCAGAATTCACGTTTCAGGTGGTTTTGAAAATCATAAATTCAAAAGGATGAAGAAATTACATTGTGTCATATCTATTCTTAGATACTGCAAGCTGGCACTGACTGTTAAAAAAAATATTTTTTTTAATATATATATAAGATTACATATTTTATTGTAAACATCCTGGTTGGGGTTATCTTGGGGCAATAAACATCGATTTTAATAGACAAAAAGTTATTACTTTCCTAACATCACAAAATATATGTTTTTGGTCACATGACTTGGTATTAACTAAATCCATACTATTATGGGATATATCAACTCAATCACTGACGTCACACTGCGCATGTTCAATTAGGACCTTGCCGCCTAATGTGACGCAGGGGGTCGGGAAGTGAGCACTACCCCTTGTCAACTACCCATGACGATCGATACAAGACGGACTTACTAACTATATATTTGCCACAGTTTTGTGTATTTGTGAAGTTGAGAAGTTCGTGACAACCCTGACATGGCCGGGGGAGGCAGGAAGGACGATGAGGGAGAAGAAAGCATGGACTTTGACGACGTGGGGGAAGGTGAAGATTGTAATTTTTGTAATTAACCTCAATTTCTGTACACTTTTTCCTGTTTGACTTAGCAAATACTAGCAAAATCTAATGTGCATAGTTAAGTTAGATGACTCAAGGACTAATTCATCCTTATTTTGTGGTCTAACAAGCTGTCGTTCAGTTTTACCGGCAAAATGTTTCGATCGCGGAATCCCCGTTTGCGTCTTTGTTCATTTGCATATCATTTTGTAAATACGAGGTTTCCCGGTTTAGAAAGGGATTTTCCCGTTTCTTGTGAGTTAGATACGATGCATATGAGCTTTTATTGGTTTGGTTGTGTAATTAAGACAATTTCTGAATTTTCTTAGCATCTTTTGTGGAGATTTTTGTCTAATGCACAAAGATGGGATAAATATCTGGATAAATATCTGGCGTGAATCTGTCTGCGCATGCTCGGATGTGACCTGATTCGTTGACCTCCAACACATGTGAGGCCGACTTTGTCTCGACCATATTCAGATTATCAAATATTTGTGTCTTTTATAAATAAAGAACACCATTTTCAGTTTTGGGCAGGTCATTTATGTACAGAGAAGAAATGAATACCCCTTAGATAGTGTCATGTGGATTTCTCGTCCAAATATTTGGAACAAAAATTGATGCATGTATTTTTTTTTAACAAATGATGCCGCTTAGTAAATTTATCGATAATTCATGTTTAATGTATACATTTTAGAGTGCAAAATAACATTTAATAACTAAATGTTCAGGTAACTCGTGCTGTTTAACTGTTCATGTAAATCAATATGAATAAGAATACTTTGATGACACCATTCTCCCACCTGGTGGGCAGTGATTGTGTGGTGTACAAATTTTCAGAGGGGGATAACTTCTCTCCTTTTCGGGGTTCCTTCTATTCGCCCCAAGTTGGAGACGATTCTGAAAATCTTACGCCTATGCGTAAGTAGTTTGTGCATGAAGCTTAGTTTATGTTACGTAGCTGCATGATATATCTTCAGCATTGCTAAGTAGTTATTATCGTGTCTGATCTTGGATTGTAGTTCAAAGCTGAATAAAAAGAAATTGAAGACTGGTTACATACTTTTAATTTAAATTTTATATGAATATTTATTAATCGATTTCCTTAAAGGTTTGTACACAAAAGTCAACGAACACCCACTCCGGTCTTGTTTAAACATTATGAAACTCTGTAAACATGTTAAAGATTTAAGTAACTATAAAATAATTTAGATACCGGTACCCAAATTCTAATGCTGACATGCAAGTTTCTATAGATGCTATGTTTGAAAGAGGGTTTACCATGTTTACTTTTTGTGAGAAAGTAGATAGTGACATGGTCAATATACATGAGTAAGCTTCTGCCGTTTCTGACGGTTTGATTAACCAGATTACATTGCACATGCAAAGGAGGCAAAGACACTTGATTAAATCATTAATCATAAGTGTGGAATTTGTGAAAAGCATTACAATGTATGTTTTGTAGGTCTAATGTTATTTTGGAATGAGTATTGTCAGTGAAATGGGAAGGGTTGTGTAATCAATGTAATGGTTCTCCAGTGTTTCCCTCAAAACTTCAAAGATATCAGCATGTTTAATTCTATATTTATCATAATTTTGGAAGATGCGGAACTTGACATGCTGGAAGGAATTCTGAGTACTTTCATCAGTGACATGAACTGCTTTGGGAAGCAGTGTCTTGCTTATGCGACTAAATCGACATAAGTCAGCATTAAATTCTTACTAAAACATTTCAGAATAATATGTGGATATTCTACTGTTCAGTAATCTTGTCCACAGATTTGTATAACTTCAGGGGTTAGAATAGGTCCCCCTCACAACAACTGCATAATATTCTGGTCTGATTGTTGTGACATCACTGATTAAGTGCTGTATACTCACAATATCAGTTAATGGTCACAAGCTTCTTTCGCCCCATAATATTTTCAGTAAGGATTGAATATTGCGATGTAAAACAAACCAAAAGACAGTTGGCATGAAACGAGATGATTGGCTTCAAATTGCTGTTGAAACACTGGAGTCACCCTGTATGAGATCAGAATAGGTAACCCAGCATTCTGTATTGTGGTCAGGCATCAGAACTGCTACTTGTTCCATATACAAGTTGTTTATCACAACAAAATTCTCAGTGGTAAATAATGTATACATAGTAGTGGAAATGACCTAAATTTGAAGGTTATTCTATTAGATGAACATCTGATGGTCATTTGATGTTGGTGCTGTCCTTGATCAGACACTTACATAGTAGTTGAATCTTTGATATGTTCTGTGACATAGAAACATTGTAATGTCTTATGAGACATGTTTGGAATGGAGAAAAAACCCGAAGTCTTGTCTTGGGTTATTTCTATTTGTTGTTCACAATCTGTCATTTGTTCCCATGTCACTGAACATTCTGTGTTCTGCTAGCTTGTGTATTGTAGTGTGTACTTCTTAGCTTCATAGTATGCATGAACAATATGTATGTGTGATACAACAATGGTGCGCCTGGTGTAGTCTGCTTCAGGTTATCATGGTGAAGGCGACAAGGCTTGGGTTTGCTTCCAGTTAGTTTGTAATACTTTTGATTACAAACACATTTATCAAATATGAGATGTGCTGGCTGTTTATTCGTAACGTTCAGAGGAAAGAGTGGCCTGTTTGTCACAGGTCCTGGTGCCACAATTTGTAACGTTCTGGTGATTGATTTGTCATGGAATAATGCAATATTCAGTCATACTAAATACCAAGGTTTGATAAATCTAATCAGTTGTTAGCCATATAGGCATATCCGAAATGGGAGATATTTGCCAATTAAAATTCATAATAACAAAAACAGACATTTTGACCAGTAGATTTCTTTAAGTACAGAGGGTAAATATTTTGTAAATGACGATTGATCCAAGCTGATTATTACCCAATGATTGAATATCTTGTGACCAGCCCCAGAGTTGCAACTAGGTAATTTAGTCGCCATGGCAATTGAAATTTCCACTTGGCAGCCAATATTATTTTAGCAGTCACCACTTGGCTACTTGGAAAAATCAAGCCGGCAACCTGATATCCCTAACTGCATAGTATTAGAGACAGAAATACAGTACATAAATGAATACTGGTTGACTGAACTAAAAGTTAATTATAAAAATCTAAAAATCATCATGGGAATTGTGAGGTAAAACATTAATCGATTATCAAGTATTTACAACAGCATTATTAACAACAATGCATTACACCAAAGGAATATGTATTGCTGCAGCTAAGCAAGTTTGATATGCTTTTACAGCATTATACATTACTGACTATGATCTCTTCCTGGCTCCTTAATTTTTCGACCCATGAAGATGCGGGGTATAGGTCTTCAGCAACCCATGCTTGCTGTAAAAGGCGACTGTGCTTGTCATAAGATGGGACTAACGAGATTGGGTGGTCAGACTATCTGACTTGGTTGATGAATGTCATCGATCTCAATTGTGTGGATTGATGCTCATGATATCAATCACTGGATTGTCTGGTCCAGACTCATTTATTTACAGAACGACTTCATATAGCTGGAAAATTGCCGAGCGCGGCGTAAAACAACAAACCAACCTCAATTTTTCACAATGGCTCCTTGGGCAAAATTATTCTTTGAGGCCTGCTGTGATAATATGTATCATTTCCCAATGCTTTCTAATGTATGTGATGAATCAGACTTTAGTGAAATGCATGTTCTGAAAAACACTGCACTGCAGGGATTTCCTGATTAAGATCTGAATGTTTTGATGGTACTTCTTTTATGATCATACACTTTGTTACATCTGAAGCAAGTACAGTGTACTTAGACAATGTGACATGCGTTCATGATGGCCTGGCCTTGGTGAATAGGGTTAAGGTCTCTTACAAATGTATGATAGAACCTTGGTAATACTAAGAACATGCAAGAGGAAATGTTGTTGCTTCATTCTTTTCAAAATGTGAAGGGATGCTTGCAGGTGATTGTGCAGTAATTCTTTTAAGTAAGAATCCTACAGATAATGTGCACTGATCATCAAATCAGGTTCATCAACCAGCAGTTGTACGTGATGTCTGTACCTCTTTCTCTTGTTTACTGAATACAAGATTTTGATAATGAATCAGTAATACTTACAAAGCATGTAACGATTGCAATAATTGTTATAATGTTTGCGATACATTGCCAACTAGAAATTTCTCAAAACAAATCTTGTTGGCCTGATACAGTCGCAAGTAGCCAAGTTGGTGTCACTTCAATAAATGGAATAGCTTCAATGAAACATAAATATATACATGACACAGCTGTGGAAATATTGCTAGATATGAACACTTGTTGAATAGATTGCTGTACATGGAATACTTGGATGCATTGTTGCACTATACATGCTAATAGAGGGCTGGTAAGAGTTCAAAGCCTGACTTTCAACTTTTGGCCATAACAAAGTTAACTTGTCAATGTAGGACATTGTGTGAGTAGTTCATTGCATGTGTACTTGGTCTGTTGAGGCCGTTCGTGTAATAGTGACAGCCAGTTAAACGTGATAGGGGTTCCAAATGGACACCAATTGAAAAGAACGAGTACTTAGCAGTCTTTAAATTTTTGACTTTAGTCGGAGGAAAGTGTTCCCCCAAGAAATTCATGACCGCATGTCACAAGTGTATGGGGATAAGTGCCCTAACTATTCCACTGTGAAACATTAGACAGCTATGTTTAAGTCTTCAAGATCAGCAAAGAAAGTTATTGCCACGGATTCTTGGATGCAAAGTTGAACCTTGTTGATTACTAAGAAAGTCACAAGAAGATTAGCCTGAGAGATTTGATCAAAGAAAAGCGGTGAGGAATGCTGACTTCTGGAGTTCTACTACTTAATGACAATGCCTCTTTTCACACTTTCACTTGCAAGGGTTGCTGTGTGACAGTGTTGGTTCGAAGAGCTTCCTCACCCTCCATACTTGCCAGACCAGGCACCAAGTGATTTCCACCTGTTTCCTAAACTGAAATGACCTCAAAGCTGCCATGAATAGGTATTTCAGGGTGGTTTTAGAAACTTTCTTCCTGACTGGAATTGAAAAGCTTCACTATCCATATGAGAAGTGTATTGAAAATCAGGGAGATTAAGTTGAAAAATAAAATTAAAAACACTTTAAGAGTTGTTGGTTGTTTGTGGCTTAGAACTTTTTGACTAGCCCTCGTAGAGAATACTGGCACATCATGTGTGTAATCATATCTTGACAGCATGAACCCTATGAAACAAGTGCATATTATCCTAGTTTCAACATACACTGTTTGAATCAGCACTATTGAGCATTGTTGAGTGAGTCACTTCGCACACAGCTGTAATTGGATGCTTGCTGCACACATTATACATATATATTGTCAACTGTACAGTATCGCATGTCATTGTGGATTTGTCTGTGCAAGATACTTGTGTTAAGAACATCACAAAATGTGTGAACTGACGAACAATGTTATGTTTGTGGAGCTTAGGAATGTGTTTTTGATTTAGAAGTTTGATTTGTTCTATGCCCATGTAACCATGGTAACAATTGTCCTTATACTTATTGATGGAATCAATATAATGGATGCAGGGCTCGATTTAGCTATTTAAAACTTGCACCAGTGCAACCAGACATTGAAAAATACAACTTCATATTTACATCAACATGGACCAAGTGCATGTAAAAATAATTGGTTTCCTAGCTCTTACTGTTTCCACACAACAATGATCTTGGAACACCTTTAATCGCTTTAAGGTTTATTTACCAAACGCTCTCTGTTATGTGTAATTTTTTTCATGCTATTGTGGGTTTGACATCATCAAATTGTTGGTACTTCAAGGTTATGTACACATGTTTCTATTACGTTTTACAGCAGTACGTCATTATTTTCTGTGACACTGGCGGCAAACTGGCCTATGTTTCAACTTGATAGATTTATGGGACCGGGGTACAGCCTGGTTTTGTGTGGTGCAACTAGATTTTCATGTTAACATGCACCTGGTGCAAGTTAAATCAAGTTCCTAAGTCGGGTCCTGAAATGGTTGAAATTGTAACATTTCTGTCTGACTTTATCCACTCGTCTGAAGCCGCTGTCTATTAGAATTTCTTATGGTCTTGCAAGATCAGCTTTTTCGGTCTATGTACTAAGACCAATATGTACTGAAAGTCATACCAAAATACAAGTTTGGGCAAATAACTCAAACGTTTTGGGCATAGACTGACATCTGTGTTTTGTGGGTATTATCTATATAATGGTTATTGAAAAAAAATCCAAACTCTGAAATACAAGTCTTCTTTTGATTGGCTCCTTACTTTCTGTATCATGTGTATAGCTCTTGCAAACAACTTGGTATTATATGAATAATGCTATATTTGAGGCTTGCATATATCATGTATTTGGTTAACAAGTCCAGCTGTCCAATGGTAGCCATGGTAACATCACTGTAACACTGCTGTAAATTTGTTGATGACACACACCCAATGAGGAACATCACTTTGGTAGGATGGATTTACCGGTAACTAAATGTAATTATCTCGAGGCTACTTTGGTTATGAATAATGACTTATTATGTGCACCTGTATGTATATGATGTATATAGTATGCTTTTATGAGGCTTCTGTATGAATGACTGGTACGCTGCACACTAGGCTTTGTACATGTACGTACCCCTTATCATATTTCTAATGATTCATAAACAATATGTATTTCAGTTAGGTAACACATTTTAATCCTGACATGCTTTAGGGAACAAGTTAATTTAAATTGAAGTAAACTGATGTGTTTGGTGAACTAGTCCTTGCTTGTTGTAATGTTTTAATGAAAAAAAGAAAGATTTTGTGTTGTTCAATATCTATGTCCATATATAATGTATTGATGAAAACATTGGACTTTAAACACATGGATAGGTGGAAGTTTCTGTGATTCAATGTTATTTGCTTGGCTCTGAATTATTTGACTAATATTTCTCAATTCTCTTACCAGAAGAAGAAGAGGTTGCTGAAGAGGTGACGGAGAAGAAAGGAAAGAAGAGAAAAACTAGAGATGGAAGTGAGAAGAAGAAGAAATCTAAGAAGAAGAAAAAAAGACAAGCAGACAGTGATGTGGAACAGGTAAATTATTGAATAGTTGGCTCAAGGGTTAACTTGTGTGTGACATGCTTTGGTTATAATATGCCTGGGGTGATGAAGAATTTGTGACAAGTTGAGTTTCTTTCTCCAGGGCAGTGAAGCAGAAGACGACGACGATGATGCTCCTGTTGAGGTCACACCTAAGGAGAAGAGGAAGAAAGGAAAAGAAAAGGCAATTATGAACTAGAACTTTTGTCATGTGATAATAGAAGAAAATAGAATGAAGTATAATTATCAACAAAATGAATGTAGGTTAAAGCCGAGGACAAGCTAACACCCATTCAATCATCCCTGGTCTTTAAAAGCATGAAATGTTGTGCCACTGTTTCCCATAACCTAAGCTTGTAATGGCTTAGTATTGGTTATGATGGTTGCCATGTCTTCTTGTCCTACTGTGGATTGTATGTCATGTCGCTTGTTACCTTTCAGAAGGAAAAGACGTCCTCCGAGATATGTGATTCCTATGGGATGGTTGATGTTGATATCGAATACACAGATGATGACTACAAGACACTTACAAACTATGCCCTGTTCAGTAAACATGTGCGACCCATGTTGATGAAGGAAAATCCAAAAGTGTCCACAACGAAAATGGGCAACGTTGTTGCTGCGAAATGGCGTGAATTTGCCAGACAGATATCAGCAAAAGCTCACGAAACAACCCCAAGCAAAGCCGAGGGACCCTCAACGCCTATGTCTACTGCTACCTCAGCAGCGGCAACACCATCGGCGCCAGACACACCTGGTAAGTGGAAAACTGGATTCAGAGGCAGGGTGGCAAAATCTTGTTGAATTAAACAGTGCTCACATTTGTCTTACTATGCTCTTTAGGGTTGAGTCCATCGTCTTAATCCTTAGACAATGTCTTGGTGCAACAATTTGCTTATGGTAACAACTGAATACAATTCATGACTTGAGAAATGTGTTGCAGACGCAGCTGATGATGCTGATGATTTGTCAGGCGATGGTGAACTGGACGAATCGGTGGACGAGAAGCCATCTCGTTCCAAGAAATCCAAATCTAAAAAGGGGGCAATTGCTCCCTTGAAGATAAAGATCAGCAAGAAAAAGAAGAAGAAGAAGACTAGTTCTGTGAGTACTAGATCTTACCATGATGACCAGGTAATTAGTTTTCCTGTTCACGCAGGCTACTTTCAATCCAGTTGAAGTATATTTATACAGGGATGTCTCTAGACCTAATTAGAGGCTGATGTCAGTCTGCAGCAAATGTCAGTAAAATTCCGGAATTGGAATTAAGACATTTCCCAATTCATGCGGTTATACAGTCATCCCTCATCATAACGCAGGTTTCGATATCCATGGATGCCCCCTGCATTATCGGACACCCATGTTATTCTTAATATGGAATGCAGGTCGGTAATATTGTATTTGCTTGTGCATTGGTGCGTGGAATGTGCAATATGCTAGTGAAATATGCAAGTTAATCCTGTTGCAAGGATTAACTTGTGTATGTATTTGCTATTTCCAATGACGATAAAATGTGTGTTTGTGGTGAAAATAATTAAATTTATGGGAAGCATTGATGACCACACGATTTAACTGAATCCTCGATATCACATATGGCGTTATTGCGAGGGATGACTGCAGTTATGACAGTATGTTAGGTGTTAATAGGACCAATACAGAAGGAGAGGTGTTATTGCTTAGTTTAATATTGAAAGAAATATTAAACACCTCTGAATTCAGGAAAATAAAACCTTTTTTAAAAGTCCAAATTTGAACAAAATGATATTTTCCCGAATTAATTAGGCATTCTAGATAAATCCCTGCTATAAGTTCTTCATTTCATTCAGTTCAGACAGTCATATGTTCATTGCAGCACTTGAAAATAGAGGACAACTACTGGTACCCTTTTTAACAGTTACAGTACTTTGAAGTAATTCATAGTTCTCACCAGGCCCAATAGTAAATTTAAGAGCTTGTGTTATTGTAGGTACTGTAAGAACTATACCATTGTAGAACGTAACAAATGAACTTCTAGTTTGAGGCCATTATGAAACAAGTAAATGTAGTTTGAAGTGATTGTCCAACCCTGTCTCGTCAGCCACTGGGTACAAAGCTTGCTTGTTTTGCTGCAGGATGAGGAAGAGGGTTTCAACACAAGTGATGAAGAATTTGAGAGGCAGCTAGAGGAAGCCAGCCTGTTGAGTGAAGTAGCCAAGGCAGAAGGTGGATCAGCACGGAAACGGAAAGGGAAAGGGAAGGGCAGAAAGAAGAAGACAAGGACTACAAATAAATATCCTGATGATCCTGATGCTGATGGTTATGAGGTAATGATAGCTTCTTCTCTCCACATTCATTTCCACATGAACATGAGTTTCTTCAGCCAGATTCAGGCCCAAACCCTGACTGGATCCATCGTACCACATGCTGTCATAAGAGGCTGTCACAATGGGTGTGTCCTTGTTGATCATGATTAAACATATTTTGTCAACTGATTGCCCGACCCTGAGTCAATAAATTACTTCATCACCCACTTTACTGTAGTAGACATGGTAAAGCAAAAAGTACATACCGTAAACCACGTTTATAGTGAAAACGCATATAATGAACTGACCGATATGACGAAATTATTTTTAGGACATTTGTTGTATATATATGTTGTATATATGCTTATAACGAACTACGGTTATAACAAACTAAAATTAGTGGTCTCTTTGAGTACGTTATAACCGTAGTTTACTGTACATATAAACATACTTTTACAAACGTAACAATACCTTGTGCAGATTACCAGGGCTCGGTTTAGCTATGTATAACATGCACCAGTGCAACCTATTATTAAAAAGTGCAAACTTATATTGGTCTACATACACCAAGTGCTTGTAAAAGATGTTTTAAATTTGTGTCTGACTTAACCTTACTTTTCCACACATTGACTTTTGAACACATTCAAGCTTTATGTCCCATACTATGTCTCTAATTATTGTTATGTGTAATTTGTCATGCTTTCTTGGGCTTGAGGTCATCAAACTGTGGGTACTTCAAGATTATTTACACTTGTTCCAATGACATTTTATAGCAGTACATAGTTACTTAACGTAAAATCATGCTATGAAAGATGATATTTTATATATTTATACAAGTTCATGCTTCTCTGTTTCAACTGCGATAAATTTATGGAACCATGGTACAACCTGATTTTGTCTGGTGCAACTAGGTTTTCATGTCAACATGCACCTGGTGAAAGTTAATCAAGTTCCTTACATCGAATCCTAAGATATGTACAGTGCTGGATATTGTTTATTGTTTGTAATAACTTGTCACAGAAAAAACCCATCTAAGCAAGGTTTGTGAATGATCAGCACCCGTCAGTAAGTGCACCAAGAGGAAGCAACTAAGTATGACACGTGACTGGTGTGGGCTGTTTCAGACGGAGCATCAGGACTACTGCGAGGTGTGTCAGCAGGGAGGGGAGATCATCCTGTGTGACTCATGTCCTCGGGCATACCACTTGGTGTGCCTGGAGCCTGAGTTGGAAGAAGCCCCCGAGGGAAAGTGGAGCTGTCCCCATTGTGTGAGTGAGCCTTAGTAACGAGGGGGGATCCGCAGGGACAGCATCAGCATTAGGGGAATCTTGTGAATCCTTGTGTGTATTGTGACAATACAAAACTTAACCCTTGGAAAACATTTGTTCTCAGTCTGAATTTGTTAAAATATTGAACAGATCAGTTTGTTAATTTGAATATTTGAAAGTGAATTTTGGAATGAATTCAATTCTGAAAATGTCTGATATTTTGAAGCTGTCCCTCTTTGTTGATTGAATACTCTGATAGATGATTAAAGGTGTTAAGGTGAATCTAAGAAGTATCTGAATAATAAGAAAATCCAAACAAATCTTATTGCAAAGTAACTGAACAGTAACGGTGTCTCCAGTTTTAACAAATTGTAATGTAAATTATTTGTTATTAGTGTAGTATACAAGATCTGTTCGAATTGTATGTTGAAGCAATGATTATTTTGTGAAATTTTGTATTTGTGAGTATTAAGTCTTTTGAATTGAGTTTTTGCTATCTTAAATGTATGCTTTATATGTTATTAATACTATATTATTGGGAATTATTTTGCAAATGCAATGAAACCTCATCAACTAGACGTCCTTGTTACCTGCAGTCGAGACGAGTGGGATTCCCATGGTACAGAAGGTTCTCTTTAAGGACGGTACCATAAAGTTGCCAAGGACCAGTGAAGCTCCGGGTTAGAATTGATCTTCAGCCATCCATGCTTGTCTTAAGAGGCGACCAAGGTGGTCAGGCTTGCTGACTTGGTTGATACTTGTCATGTGTCCCAATTGCGTAGATTGATGCTCGTGATGGTAATCACTGGATTGTCTTGTCCAGACTCGGCTATTTACAGACCGCCATCATATGGCTGGGTGGTGTGTTAAACAGACAGAATAAAGTTCACAAGTCTCTGCCGAAATTATGGAGTTGAAGTTGATGGAGTTTCACTGTACCATGTTTAACACTTGCTACATTTGTTGTGTTGGTTGATTAACATTAGAAGTAGATGTTTGATTTGCGAGTTTTGCTTATAACATTTGCTTGTCAGTAACACAGTTGTTGGTCCAAACATCGTCAATGGCATTGCCTGCATGATTTACATGCAAAGATACTTCTTTCTGGGAAATGTATTGAAATGTTTAACTTCTTGGCCTCCACAACATACGTTTGATAATTTCTCAAATGAAGTTTGAGGGGGATTGTTAAATTAGAAGGGGATCGTGTTTGTTTTTGTATTGTGACTGCTCACAAAAGTTCCTTATGCCGTACTTTCTCAGTACTAATCTCTGTTCCTTGTCCCCTGTTGTTTGTGCTGTGTTAAAGGGGGTCTCAGTGTGCTCTCTTCTCCTTTCTTCATTTGGTATTTCAGTGTTAAAATTGAATGAAATCAACATACATTTAAATGAACATGTACAATTCAAAGTGTTTTCAAAATATTGTTGGCTCTTTTAAACTGTAATTTAATTACACGATGATTGTCATACTTATGTATGTTTATGATATTTTCAGTTTGACAAAAAATTCATTGTGTTTGTAGTCTGCAAAGAAATGTGACAGTATCATATCACATGTGCATGGTATGCGTAGGTAATCGTAGATGATGGACAATGCAGGATGTGTGTGTATACTGGGGGTGAAGCGGTACAGAAAAGTAACGATACGATATGTACTACAGGTTCTTCCTCACTGCATAGAAAATATGCAATATACTGAATTATGTCAACTTTATTCCTATTTAGCATCTGAAAACTTTCAAGACAATATGTGAGTGACATTCTGACCAGTCGTTACAGTTTCAAAAGGAAAAGCCAGCTGTGGACACGTTTGTAGTGAACTTGAAACGCTAATTTGAACACATTTTGCAATATTTCAATGACAAAAATGCTGAGGAGTCATTAAACAAGTAGTAAGTAATTTATTTTAGCAAGTGTATCGTCTTGTATCGATGCAGAAAAAACCTTATGTATCATATCGTATCATATCGTGGTATGAAAACTTGTTATGCATCGGTGTATTGTTTCACCCCCAGCGTGTACCCAACTATAATCTGGGCATGTAAAAGTTGAAAATTGTTAAGTAAGAAAGAATTTCTTTAAGTATTGAGACAACCTTTAACAGACTGTGTTTGGACGCCCAGCTGTTGATGGGTGTCCCACTCTAGGGTGTTTCACAAAAGCTCTTTAACAACATCATCTCTTGCTCAGAACAGTAACTGCATCCAATAAAAAAGGGGTGTTTCACATAACTGAAAACTTCATCCTATGAAGAAAGGTTTTGTCATCTACATCCCACAAGGATGGCCAAAATATAATGACTCACTTCTAGAATATTATGTTCTGATGAGAACTTGTAATGTATTTTTCTTGCACCAAACTGAACATTACTTTGATCCTTGAATGTGTTTCACTCCTGTTAAAGATCTAGTGTTTGTTTGTGTACATGCATGCGAGCTGTCGTCCCCTGAGCCTGTGGGGAGTTTGATGGGCTACAGAGCTTTGTGAAGTGATCACCAATAGGCTGCTGCCTGAAAGGATTGTCTGCTTTGTCTTCAGATTGCGAGTGGAGCAGCCTCAGCTAGGACAGTTGGGAGACGGGGGCCCCATGTGTTCATTTTCGCTACAAAATTTACGACCAAAATTTGTGTAGAGCTTGTAGCTTTAGGCAGTAAAAGTATGAATCATTAACGATTCTTTTTGACAAGCAACACGATTGTGACATGATCCCATCTTGTTCTTGTACTTCCTCACCACACTGTCAGAGATGTATTTCTTTACTTGGTAAACATGGTAAACAATACAAGTACTTTATTTTTTCACAAATTAGGACAGCTGATGCAATTGAATGATGTAGTATTGGACTTGATACATGATATACACTTCTTTATCTATACATAGTATTTTCGAAATCAGATAGTTGACAGAATGGGACTGTTTACCATTTTGGCTTTAAATGTATGATCTGTGATTCCGTGGAACAAATATTATTTCTATGAAAGAGATTTTGGAAGGAAAGCATGTTTTGTCACCACAAGTGACAAATTATATTATATGACATCTCAGTTCTGAGGAATTATTTGCCTCTGCCTATTAACTAAGATATATTTTAAGACATATTCTGCAAAATGCCACACAAAGTATATTTCATGTTAATAAATACACTTCTCCTATGACATACACTAGACATGTATTATATGTGCACAGCCACTTACTACTTAGTACTTACTACTGTGCTCTTTGCCAGAAGATTTAGGAAAAATAACTACTGGTACAGGTTATGATTCAGTAAATATAGCGGTAACTACAGCATTGATGTTTGTCAATATATCTTGTCATTTATAATGGGATTAAGTCTACTACAATGTTGTCACAGTTGAAGTGATGATAAAAGTTTTGTAAAAAATTAATTCGGTTGTTGTGATAGGAAGATCAGTGTATTGACTACGGTAATGTTTTTATGTTAGTGTGACGTCAGGGTGAAGATTTCACTTCAGAAACTGATTAAACACAAGTAGTTGCAGGCTAGCCATATGGAGTGGTGACACCTCAGAAACCACTTAAGAGTAGTTGTCAGATAGTAGTATGAGGAAAATACTTTTTTCAACGTAGATTCAGTTTCGAACCAGTTGCAATATTTTCAAGAATGAGTTTGGATCATGCCACAGCATGTCTGCTTCCTACCGTACACCAGCTACACGATAACTTCTTGAGTCCGCTGCAGCCTGTTTCTGTGACTGCCTTAGTAACCCTGCTACTCCTCTCATCTTCTAGGAGGGAGAAGGGATCAAGGAACAGGAAGAAGATGAACACATGGAGTTTTGCCGCGTGTGTAAAGACGGGGGCGAGCTTCTCTGTTGCGACAGCTGTCCCTCGGCCTATCACCCCAACTGTCTCAAACCACCAATTCAAAATGTTCCCGATGGTGACTGGCATTGTCCACGCTGTTCTGTAAGTTGCATGTCTCCTTGTAGAGTTGCCCGCCTCGTTAGTGTTAATTTGTGTTAATTGTGTTTTCTTTAAGCCTGAGATTCAAGAAGGGGAAGAAGTGGAAGGTGAGGTGCTCTCGGAGAGGGAAAAGCGCAAGCAGGAAGTGAGTAGTTGACCGCTACCGGCAAGTAATGTGTGCAGTGCTACATTTGTCGTAGAGAGCTAGTGGAAGGGGTGCACTGCTTGTATAGACAAACAAATGTGAAATTGGAAAAGGAGCAAAAGGTGAAGAGGTTAAAAACAGATATTAAAATCAATTAATGTATAACAGCGGCAGTTTCTTGATGTCAAGTGTAGAATGACTATTGCTAGTCCATTTTGAAGTACACATGTTACTATAGTGACACTAAGCTTGCAGTATAGAAGTTGGCCCACAGATATAAACTAATGGTATTTGGGCTCTAGTGCTGTTCAGACATATGTGATAGCAACATCCATAAATGATGCATATCCTATCGTCATGTGGGCAGATGTGTGGCTAAGGAACAGGTAGTACTTTTCTGTTTTCAAGTTTCTTGTTCATGTCAAACATGTTCACATTTGAAATTGTTTGTTATTTCATAACTTTCATGAGTTTCATGTTTTTACGTTAAATTCAAATTTTACATTAATGTAGCATTGATGGATATTGTAATCTTTTATGGTGTATTGACTGATGTATACTATTTCTTGATAGTTGATAGCTCTTCATTGTTGATAGCACTATTTTATAGCACTGTTGTTTTTAACATAATTTCATGTGCTCATTAGCTACTTTCCAATATACAATTGTTTTGCAGGTTGGTTATTGTAGTGATTTAGGGATAGATTAAGTAGGTCAACAAGGAGTTATTAATGTCGGTGGCTTTACTTGAAATGCAGTACGCATTAACTTTCCCATCTAATTCTGGGTATGAATCAATGCTTTTCCTCCCATCCTTCCTAAAGCAACCCATTCTTGTTGTAAGAGGGATCGGGTGGTCAGGCTCACTGACTTGGTTGATGGATGTCAATTGTATCCCAATTGCGTGGATTGATGTCATGATGTCAATCACTGGATTGTCTGGTCCAGGCTTGATTATTTTAAGACTGCCATCATATAGCTGGAATATTGCTAATTGTGGCGTTAAACAACAAACAAACTTGAAACATAGAGAATAGATAAAAAAAGGTATGGCAGCAATAAATATTTCAAGTCAGCTGTAATGTATCCTTACCACATGCTGACATATTGGAGAGTAGTTATATTGCACAATGGACATGTTTTCCAGTGTGAGCCCCTTATAGGCAAGGTAGCAAAGATCTTGACCTGGCGCTGGAAGGAGCCCCCAAAGACAGATGATGAACTTGATCACACACATCATGAAGAACTAAAGAAGGATGATTCCAAGCTTGTGCGCGAGTTCTTCGTCAAGTGGCATGACATGTCCTACTGGCACTGTAACTGGATCACAGAGCTGCAGGTCAGCCACACGGATCATGTTTATATATCAACATAAAGTCTTCTTCTGAGGCACTTTGCTTTCCATATTATTTATTTTACACCCATCAAGGATTTATTTAGACCAGGTCTTAATTTGGCCTCCTGAGTCAAAAGCAGATGTCAGTAAAACCATCCAAATTGTAATCAAACAGATCACAATTTATGCAGTTGTGGCTTTGTAGTGGTGTCTTGTATATCACTGATAACAGGACCAATAATGCTCCGATTAATATTATTACATTGAATGCAATGTGAGAAATACCACTCAATTTAGGAAAATGAAACTTGTTTCTTTTTTATCCAAATTTGGAATAAACAAACAATTTTTCCAAATTTGACTGCCAAGGGCTGTTAGTTTGGAATCCCAGATAAATATCTGCCCACTAAATCTGAGACTTGTCAATCTAAAACAAAGTTGGACTATTTTGCCCTGCACCTAATTGTGTTGGTATGTATCTCCCATCAGAGCTGATCTGTTCAATCCCAAGACCACAAATTTATGGCGTGTGTCATTTCAGCTTGATGTGTACCACCCCGCAATGTTCAGAAACTACATCCGGAAGTATGACATGGACGAGCCCCCACCACTGGAGGACGGCAGCACATACCGAGACAAGATGGACAGTGAGGACCCTCACAACCTGGAGGATAGGTTCTATCGATATGGGGTGCGGCCAGAGTGGCTACAGATTCACAGGATCATTAACCACAGGTAAAAAACTCCACTTGGGTACAGTGGAAGCATTACTACAATTTCAGTTTCTTGAAATCTTTGAGGGGGGCATGGGTGGCCCATTGGTCTAAGGCGCAGCGATTCGCTGTGTAGAGTTGCGTCCCTTGGGCAGGCTAGAAACCTATGATTGTGGGTTCGAATCCCGGTTCGCCCCTGTTTCTAGGTTTGTCGCCACCATGCCTGTGCTCGTGGGTTTCACCGAAGTTGTAAACATCTGAGACATGCATCACTTCAGGCTTTCCTCCCACATTAAGCTGACACGCCGCGATATAACTGTAATAATGTTAAAAGCAACATTGAACCCAACTCACTCACTTGAAATCTTTGAACTGTTGAGGGGCAAAGTAGTAAAGTGCTTCTGGGTGGTGTATTTTACAGTCAAGAGTTAAAGAATGAACTTGTTCAAGGCTTATGATCCCAGATTTCTACAGCTTACTGTCCTATGTTGAGGTAAAAAACTGTGGTACGACTAAAATACCTGCAGTTCTGGGTGACTATTGGAGCCATTTTCTCCAACTCCAATGTGCAGTACAAAATGGCTTGAAGACAGCTCACTTACTTTGCCTCATAATGTTGTCATGTAGACAAGGCTTATTTTCATGTAGTTCACTGACTCATATGTAAGTTTCTATGTTGTTGATACCATATTCTGATCCTTACAATAACTAGGTGGATTCACAGACATGTCACCTGTTTCAGGACCACCCGGGACGGCACCACCTGGTATCTGACCAAGTGGAGGGACTTGCCATACGACCAGGCAACCTGGGAATCTGAGGACTCTGGAATAGCAGACTTCAAGAAATTTGTAGACCATTATGAAAGCTTAAGGTTAGCATCCAGATTTTGTCTTACTAAGTAGCTATGACGTAAGTATGTCGCTTTGTATGTTGTGGAATTTGCCATGGTTGTCCCCAAGAACAATGTACACTCACCACATTAGGTCACTGGAGTTCTTCACCGGGTTAGAATAGGTCTCTAGCAACCCATACCAGCAGTAAGAGGTGACTATGCTTGTCATAAGAGGCGACTAACGGGATCTGTTGGTCAGGCTCGCTGACTTGGTTGATGCGCATGATTGTCTGGACCAGGCTTGATTATTTACAGATTATTATTATTAGCTGGAGTATTGCTGAGCGTGCGTAAAAAACCCACTTGAGTTCTTGTTGAAAAAGGTAGCTGTAAAAGTTTTCTGAAGGTGTCTAACCTGTTTTGCTACCTTTGTGAATAAATTACGTTCTTGCCTTGATGGTGCGGATTTTTAATCACTCGGTCAAGCTTGATTATTTACAGGCCACTGTGACAGCTGGAATAGTGCTTAGCAGTCACTGTGTTACAATTGGTCTCCAGCTACCAATACTTGTTTAAAAGGTTACTTGAGGGCTCTGGTGGTGAGGCTTTGTGATTTGGGTGATAGAGTGAAATCATATCCTGATTTTGTGGATTGTTGCTAATAATATCAATCACTGGATTTTCTCTCCAGACCCCCATCATATAGCTGGAATATATCAAACAAATACAATTATTGTATGTGTCGGAATTAATGTATCTTTGTTACGGTTGCAGATGTTTGATGAATGGCAATGGTGTCTCAGACAAGAAGGGGAAGAAGGGTAAAAGTGCCAAGAAGACCAGGGACAAAGAAATTGAGGTGCAGACGCCTAAAATGCCACCTGTGTATCCCACCACAGACGTGAGTCTCAATCTCATTGAGAACATCATGTGGCTTGTGGCTTGTGGCTTTTCATTGCTTGTCTTGTGCAAGGCTTATTCCATCAAACACAATGCAGTTTCAGGCTACTTCTTGTCATATTTGTTTAATTTGATGTTGACATACTTTGAAGTGGTTGTGTGAAGCGTAAATGCCCATTGTTGTGATTGAAATAAGCCTTGTAGTGGGATTGACAGCTATTCATTCACTTCCGTTTCATTTGTTTTGTTCCCAGGGATACCTACCATTTCATCCCATGGTAACTTGTGCTCTATCGTACATCAGTGCATCCATCATCACCACAATTTCCTGTCACACATCATCACTACAATTCTCCTGTCACACATCATCACTACAATTCTCCTGTCACACATCATCACTAAAATTCCCTGTCACACATCACTTCATGTCCACGTCACACCTCACTACAATTCTCCTGTCACACATCACCACTACAATTCCCTGTCACACATCATCACTACAATTCTCCTGTCACACATCACCACTACAATTCCCTGTCACACATCACTTCATGTCCACGGCACACCTCATCACTACAATTCTCCTGTCACACATCACCACTACAATTCCCTGTCACACATCACTTCATGTCCATGTCACACATCATCACTACAATGCTCCTGTCACACATCACTTCATGTCCACGTCACACATCACCACTACAATTCCCTGTCACACATCATCACTACAATTCCCTGTCACACCTCATCACTACAATTCTCCTGTCACACATCACCACTACAATTCCCTGTCACACATCACTTCATGTCCATGTCACACATCATCACTACAATTCCCTGTCACACATCACTTCATGTCCATGTCACACATCATCACTACAATTCCCTGTCACACATCACTTCATGTCCACGTCACACATCATCACTACAATTCTCCTGTCACACATCACCACTACAATTCTCCTGTCACACATCATCACTACAATTCCCTGTCACACATCACTTCATGTCCATGTCACACATCATCACTACAATTCTCCTGTCACACATCATCACTACAATTCTCCTGTCACACATCATCACTACAATTCCCTGTCACACATCATCACTACAATTCTCCTGTCACACATCACCACTACAATTCCCTGTCACACATCACTTCATGTCCACGGCACACCTCATCACTACAATTCTCCTGTCACACATCACCACTACAATTCCCTGTCACACATCACTTCATGTCCATGTCACACATCATCACTACAATGCTCCTGTCACACATCACTTCATGTCCACGTCACACATCACCACTACAATTCCCTGTCACACATCATCACTACAATTCTCCTGTCACACATCACCACTACAATTCCCTGTCACACATCACTTCATGTCCACGTCACACATCATCACTACAATTCTCCTGTCACACATCACCACTACAATTCCCTGTCACACATCACTTCATGTCCACATCACACATCATCACTACAATTCTTCTGTCACACATCACCACTACAATTCCCTGTCACACATCACTTCATGTCCACGTCACACATCATCACTACAATTCTCCTGTCACACATCACCACTACAATTCCCTGTCACACATCACTTCATGTCCACATCACACATCATCACTACAATTCTTCTGTCACACATCACCACTACAATTCCCTGTCACACATCACTTCATGTCCACATCACACATCATCACTACAATTCCCTGTCACACATCACTTCATGTCCACATCACACATCATCACTACAATTCTCCTGTCACACATCACCACTACAATTCTCTGTCACACATCACTTCATGTCCACATCACACATCATCACTACAATTCTTCTGTCACACATCGCCACTACAATTCCCTGTCACACATCACTTCATGTCCATGTCACACCTCATCACTACAATTCTCCTGTCACACATCATCACTACAATTCCCTGTCACACATCATCACTACAATTCCCTGTCACACATCATCACTACAATTCCCTGTCACACATCATCACTACAATTCCCTGTCACACATCACTTCTTGTCCACGTCACACATCATCACTACAATTCTCCTGTCACACATCACCACTACAATTCTCCTGTCACACATCATCACTACAATTCCCTGTCACACATCATCACTACAATTCCCTGTCACACATCATCACTACAATTCCCTGTCACACATCACTTCTTGTCCATGTCACACCTCATCACTACAATTCTCCTGTCACACATCATCACTACAACTCTCCTGTCACACATCATCACTACAATTCTCCTGTCACACATCACTTCATGTCCACGTCACACATCATCACTACAAGTCTCCTGTCACACATCACCACTACAATTCTCCTGACACACATCACTTCATGTCCACGTCACACATCATCACTACAATTCTCCTGTCACACATCATCACTACAATTCCCTGTCACACATCACTTCATGTCCACGTCACACATCACCACTACAATTCTCTTGTCACACATCATCACTACAATTCCCTGTCACACATCACTTCATGTCCACGTCACACATCACCACTACAATTCTCTTGTCACACATCATCACTACAATTCTCCTGTCACACATCACCACTACAATTCTCTGTCACACATCACTTCATGTCCACATCACACATCATCACTACAATTCTCCTGTCACACATCACCACTACAATTCTCCTGTCACACATCACCACTACAATTCCCTGTCACACATCACTTCATGTCCATGTCACACATCATCACTACAATGCTCCTGTCACACATCACTTCATGTCCACGTCACACATCACCACTACAATTCCCTGTCACACATCATCACTACAATTCCCTGTCACACCTCATCACTACAATTCTCCTGTCACACATCACCACTACAATTCCCTGTCACACATCACTTCATGTCCACGTCACACATCATCACTACAATTCTCCTGTCACACATCACCACTACAATTCCCTGTCACACATCACTTCATGTCCACATCACACATCATCACTACAATTCTCCTGTCACACATCACCACTACAATTCTCTGTCACACATCACTTCATGTCCACATCACACATCATCACTACAATTCTTCTGTCACACATCACCACTACAATTCCCTGTCACACATCACTTCATGTCCACGTCACACATCATCACTACAATTCCCTGTCAGACATCATCACTACAATTCTCCTGTCACACATCACTTCATGTCCATTTCACACCTCATCACTACAATTCTCCTGTCACACATCATCACTACAATTCCCTGTCACACATCATCACTACAATTCCCTGTCACACATCATCACTACAATTCCCTGTCACACATCACTTCTTGTCCACGTCACACATCATCACTACAATTCTCCTGTCACACATCACCACTACAATTCTCCTGTCACACATCATCACTACAATTCCCTGTCACACATCATCACTACAATTCCCTGTCACACATCATCACTACAATTCCCTGTCACACATCACTTCTTGTCCATGTCACACCTCATCACTACAATTCTCCTGTCACACATCATCACTACAACTCTCCTGTCACACATCATCACTACAATTCTCCTGTCACACATCACTTCATGTCCACGTCACACATCATCACTACAAGTCTCCTGTCACACATCACCACTACAATTCTCCTGACACACATCACTTCATGTCCACGTCACACATCATCACTACAATTCTCCTGTCACACATCATCACTACAATTCCCTGTCACACATCACTTCATGTCCACGTCACACATCACCACTACAATTCTCCTGTCACACATCATCACTACAATTCCCTGTCACACATCACTTCATGTCCACGTCACACATCACCACTACAATTCTCTTGTCACACATCATCACTACAATTCTCCTGTCACACATCATCACTACAATTCCCTGTCACACATCACTTCATGTCCATGTCACACATCATCACTACAATTCCCTGTCACACATCACTTCATGTCCACGTCACACATCATCACTACAATTCTCCTGTCACACATCACCACTACAATTCTCCTGTCACACATCATCACTACAATTCCCTGTCACACATCACTTCATGTCCATGTCACACATCATCACTACAATTCCCTGTCACACATCACTTCATGTCCACGTCACACATCATCACTACAATTCCCTGTCACACATCACTTCATGTCCACGGCACACCTCATCACTACAATTCTCCTGTCACTCATCATCACTACAATTCCCTGTCACACATCACTTCATGTCCATGTAACACATCATCACTACAATTCTCTTGTCACACATCATCACTACAATTCTCTTGTCACACATCATCACTACAATTCCCTGTCACACATCACTTCATGTCCATGTAACACATCATCACTACAATTCTCTTGTCACACATCATCACTACAATTCTCCTGTCACACATCACCACTACAATTCCCTGTCACACATCATCACTACAATTCTCCTGTCACACATCACCACTACAATTCCCTGTCACACATCACTTCATGTCCACGGCACACCTCATCACTACAATTCTCCTGTCACACATCACCACTACAATTCCCTGTCACACATCACTTCATGTCCATGTCACACATCATCACTACAATGCTCCTGTCACACATCACTTCATGTCCACGTCACACATCACCACTACAATTCCCTGTCACACATCATCACTACAATTCCCTGTCACACCTCATCACTACAATTCTCCTGTCACACATCACCACTACAATTCCCTGTCACACATCACTTCATGTCCACGTCACACATCATCACTACAATTCTCCTGTCACACATCACCACTACAATTCCCTGTCACACATCACTTCATGTCCACATCACACATCATCACTACAATTCTTCTGTCACACATCACCACTACAATTCCCTGTCACACATCACTTCATGTCCACATCACACATCATCACTACAATTCCCTGTCACACATCACTTCATGTCCACGTCACACAT